GATACTCAGTTCGGGTTGCTGGAACAAACATTTGCAGCCTATGTACTTTCTCTGCAGTCTCGGAGTGGAAACATACTGGGCCGAATGCTTCGGGTCAGAGATCATGTTGATCGGGCGCCAGTCAATGAGCTCTATAACATTTTGCTGGAAGACCCAAGCAGAATCCAGGCTGCTGCCGAGGTGCCAGTCGATACGCTTTTTGTCGCATTTGAAACATTCCTGGCGAACGCTTGGAGAAGAAGTATGGGCCCTATCTTGAGCTCCGCTTCTCTGAAATGGATTCAGAACCAGTTTGACACCATGATACCGCGAGATTTTGATGAGCAGTTCCGGAAATTTGTGACAGATATGAGCCCGCAAAATAGACGAGCTCTGGCTGCGATCATTCGACTACTTGCCGAGCTACTCGACGCATCTGGAAATGACGGAGATCGCGGTGCTTTGACGATGGCATTTGCGGAGGTACTCACCGAAGACGGAGACCCCAGTCATCATGTTTCCCTTTTGGACCGACTGGTCGAAGACTTTGACAACCTCTTTGAAGAATTTATTCCTGGAGGTACGTCGGTGGAAGGAACATTGACCTGTGATCAATCAAAATCCCATACCAATGCCGGGTCAGTTGGTTCCAATTCTTCCTCTTTCCGGAAACGCTTTGGCTTTGGTATGCACAGGGATACCTCGAAAAATGAAGGCGAAAGCAAAGTGGCAGCAATCCTACGGACATTGAGCAAGAAGCAAAGCCCGGCCGGCTCAGAGCCCAATACGCCCAAGGGCTCCCTGATGCGTTCCAAGTCAACTGACGTGGACTCTCGTCTGGGTTTCCTTCGCCCTACCTCTCGCGATCGTCCTACATCACGAGATCGTCCCACATCTCACGACCGCCCTGCATCCCGTGATCTTCCGTACCGTCCTTACGGGTTCGCATCTGAGGAGCAAATCTCGCGGCCGGGCACCGGTTACGAAAACCCGCCTTCTCTATCTTCTTTCCGAGGGTTCTCTGAAGATGGCGCGCCAAGGACTCGTAGAAAACGAAGGAGCTCTCTTTCAGATTTACGACCGCCCACATCATCCTCAGATGCATCCAGTATCTCTCCGACTCAACAGCTCCGCCCGACGACCCCTTCCAGGCGGCCGCGAGGAGAAGTGGTAACGCCTACCAAGCAGTCCAGACCTCAAAGCAGTTACATACCGACATCACCTATGCGCTCTAAGCTGCCGGCAAAATCCGGTTCACCGACCCGACTAGGATCACCCATTCGCCGTCTGTCTCCGCCCCGTCCTTCTACGCCGAGCAGGAAGGAGAACATTGATCCGAGAACTCCACAGACGGAGCGTACAACCAAGTCGAGGGGCGGTGTTTCAGTATCGCCAGCAGAGGAGTCAAGGAGGGGATCCTACACGTCAGGCATCCCTCAGCGGACTCCGGGCCTTCGGGAGCGGACGACCACCAACGGTCCCGATATTAAGCGTCCACAGTCTTCGTCTTCCTTGCACAGACCGCAGAAACCGCGGATGCAAAGCCCACAAAAGGTTGGTCGCATCGTGTTTGTCTCGATAATGACTTCACTGACATTCCTTAGTTACGTGATCGTGTTCAACTAGAAAAGAAGACCCAAAACGCTATTCAATTGGGCCTGAAAGACGAGCTCACAGAACTTGGTAACGAATTACGTTCTCTGAAGCTCACACCACCAAGGCAATCCAACGCAATGAACCTGGAGTTTGATTTTGACCGTACAGACACCAATCCATATTCTGCTACCACCACATCCCTTGAAGCTCGCATGCGCAATCTTGAAGCCCGATTTGAGACGCTTACCTGGGAGTACAATGGCCGCACAACTGCTCTCGAGCGAGACCTGGAGTCGTCCTTGATTCTTAGCGAGAAGCGCGTAAAGAAATTGGATGAGCTTTATCGCGAGGCAAGTGCCGAGAACGAGGCTCTCTATGATCGGTTCAATACAGAGCTCAGCAAGATTGCAAAGGATGTCCGCTCGGGCCACGCAGAAGACGCCTTGAAGTCTCAACTAGCAAGTGCTCTAGACGAGATCGGCCGAGTGAAGAAAGAAAACTTCCGCTTGAAACGAGAAGTCGGAGGTCTTCGAGCCCAGTCAGCTGCCGCTGCATTGCTGAAAGCGAGTGAGCAATAAACCAATACATAGCATCAAGCGCTTGTCCCATCATTCATTCCTTTCACCCACCTGCACATCTACTCGACGACCTGACACCTGTCACATTTATCTTTTCCTTTCACCTTGTACTTTGATACCGCACAACCCTCTTCTACTTTCCTTTGAACACTTCATTTGCATACATATCCATGGGCCTTTCTTATTTGTATTCATTCTTATTTTGTCACCCTTCATACTGGCCTATCCGCACAGATAGCCATTGACCATGCATGCATAGCTCAGGAGATCAAGTTTTTACAGGGCTTGCTTTTTTTGTTCGTCTAGGTGTTGTTGTCATGTACACTAGGCCTCTTAGGCATCTTTACCCACAGGCCAGCCCATCAGGTGTAGTGCCTCAGCGCCAATCGTTTTGTACATCCACTGCCATTTCAGTTTCCAGCGACCGCGTAGATGTACCAATTCCACCTCGCTGAGAGAAGAATACTTAGCTGAATGACCAGACAGCCGATAGTCCAAAGTCGGCAATGCCAGCTGCTGCCAAAACTTCTGACTCAGAGGCTTTCCTGGTTTGGACACGATGCCTTCCCTTGATATCGTAGGTAAAGTGAAGCGTAGCTGAGCAGGCGCTTCAGCAGACAAGAGGGCCTTGACGTGCTCGAAAGTCCCCGGCATTTTCTGTTCAGCAGCAGAATCCTTACTCGTTCGCCTCTGCGGCCTTGAATTGACCGCATCTTTGCGTAGCCGTTCGATATCAAATTTATGGAACGGGCGTATCGTAAGAGGCAGACTTATCAATTGATCCCCCAGTCCACTAGGATCACGGTCGACCGGAACAAGACGAAGCCGCATCCAGTACCGGTTATCCCACAAAATCCATGGAGTAAAGCTGCCACTAGGCGAAACGTTGATTTGCGTCACGGGGTCACGACCTCTCATGAATGGTTGCCGGGACAGCAACCAAATATTATCACCCCCGAGACGTGGGTCTTGGGACTTTTCAAGCGTGGAGGCTTCGTTCGTGAGACGCTGGAATAGAACCCCGGCTACCGTGAAGGCCTTTCTTCTTTTCTGCTCATTGGATGTGGCGCTTGCGCCATGAGGGCCATCTGGACCGGGGAACACGTTGGAAACTAGCGGCTCATAGCTGCGTAGCGAGAAATGACTATCGGGGAATGGTGAGAGTAGTTCTGTGATGCGGCGGAGAACAATGGTCTGGATCTGCCGGGTTCGAGACGCTGATAATGTTGCCAGCTGGGGGTCCATGGATGCTGGGCTTGGGTCTAGGAATTGAATGACCGCTGACCCTGCCTTGGGGTTGAAGTCTAGGATTCGACATTGCGATGAGAGTAGGTAGTTTGAAAGCTCGTTTGATCTCTGGAGAAGGTCTTTGCTTGAACGGATTAGGGAGAGGATGGATTGAGATTCCAGCGCACGGGGTAGGGAGTTTGAGGTGCGAAGGCTGCGGATGGCGTTCCGGGGAGTGAGGGTTGGGTCGAAATTTGTTGGGTCGGAGACGTAGGGGACCTTGTTTTTGTGGCAGGTCTCCAAAAGACTTGTTTTCGTGAAAGAGAGCAGAGGTCGGCAGATGAATATGCCGGGGCTTGCCATGTTTATATTGGATGTGATATTGGAGTAAATTTTGTCTGTCCTAGCGTTTGGGTCAGGAAGGGCGATGAACCCATGCTTTTGGTTATCGAATCGAATTTTGGGATGAGCTTTTGTTGAGATTGTTGTAGTCGACCAGCTCTCAGAAGCCCCGAAGAGGCCATGGCATTCAGGGATTCGAGCAACCTCGGGAATGCCGCCAAGGCCTGAACCACGAGCCCCAGCGGAGAGCCGCCAAATGGTGGTTTCGACGTTGTCATCTTGATGATGGCCTAAAAGCAACGTTTCAAGTTTGAACTCATGACAAGCTATCCCGAGGGCTTGGAAACGGAGTCGTCGAGCATGTGTTTCGAAGGCGGATGGCATGTGACTCGATGCTCCGGACTTTGGCTTCTGACTCGAATGAATTTCAGACCAGTCCAAACTGAGGATATGAGTTCTGATGTCTGTTTAAGAATGGTTTAATAATCTTCCAAAAAATGTAATATCCAGACTTGGGACGTACCCATATCACGAAGCCAGCCAGCAACCTTTTGTGCCTCAATAGTGCTTTCCGGACGGGCACGATGATCTACCACAAAAGCAGTGACAGAAATGGCTCCAGCAACATCCGAAGAGCGTTCCAGTTGCTTGCATAGGTATGCCAGAGCCATGGAATCGGCGCCCCCACTGACGGCAATTCCTACCATATCGCACGTCAGTTATAAGCTCTTGAAATACAACCAAGAAGTGCATAATATTTCAATCTTCAAAGCTTACCAAACCTCCGCGGAAGCTGCAGGGTGTCATTATCACCGAGTTTCTTTCCATGCTTGGTGCTACCATAATTGACGCGAGCCCGTCGCGATCCGGACCATGCTTGCTGGAAGCAACGCTGGAACAGAAATGGCGAGATTGATATATTCCCGGCCATGTCTACTCTCTCTGCAATCAAACATGGGCTCGGGAATTCAATATCATCATCGACCTATAGGTCACTTCACGCGTAGGAGAGCCTGAGGGTGATATCGTCGGCTCGGCCAATCAATTTCCCGAGCACGTGACCAGACGGCGGCCTTCACGAAATATGTCTCAGAGATTCTATCGAGTATTATTCAAAATGATGACGAGTCATTTTTGAGATATTTGGGGGGGGTGATGTCAGTATTCTGGTACTGAGAGTAGCGTAAGTGGTGGCTGTTGAGTTCCATATGTTGCTTAGATGTTTGAATCTATACAGTACGGCAGACCAGTGAGGGTCTGCATATATGATTTATATATCTAGATCCCAAAACTACCAGGAAAAGCAGCCAGGTAAGCGCCCTCAATTTCCTGGCCCATACCCCCAACACCCTCAAAAATCACATCCGATTTCAGAGATCTGCCAAGGATTTCGACACCATGTCGCAGCTCCTCACTCAATCTCTCAACATCAGCAATCTCCGACGCAGGAGTGGGATTACTAAGCAGGTGATAACAATTTGAAAGCTGACCCGTCGATAGAGAAGCACGCAGTCGATGCAGTAGCATGAGAAGACCATAGCAGCTTTGCATAGCCGAGCAAGCAAAGTAAGGAATGGTTTTCGGATATGTTCTGGACTTAGAAGAAGTTGCTGATCCAAGTGGATTCGCATACGGCAAATTGCGATATATCGTCGTTACCACGAGCGAAGACTTGAGGCAGATAATCGAGGATTCTTGCTCGGTGAACGGGAATGAGACCTCGCGGTCTGACACCCACTTGGGAGCAGATTGATGCGGGAAATCCTCGCTGTTGATTGCTGCAAGATCGCAGTAATTATCGAGAAAAAGTGGGATGTCCATGAATGCCCGGAAGCGGTGCAACCGAGTGCGAGCACTAGAAGGGTCAATAAAAAATACGTGTCGAGGTTGAAGACGAATCACTCACGCATGGATCAACATGCGGCTGACCATCCACATGGTTTGAGCTACGGATGCCTCTGACCCTTCATCGAAAGTCGTCAAAAGATGGCGGTCTGCTTCGCCTACCAAAGATACAAGATTGGAATCCAGCTTGCGTATTCGGTTGCCAAAATCAGAGAGATCGGTTGTCTCATCCACACGTTCGATGTTCTGGACCATTTTGCTAGACTCAAACAGAGCCTCTTGTGCTTTCATTTTCATGTGCCATGGCTTGTCACAGTCAGTAGAGGATTGAAGAGTCATGAAAAGGGTCGAATGAATACCTCCAGATGAACGTCAAATTTGGGATAAGGCGTAGTTATCCGTGGATCAGTCATGGAAACAATTGGTGGCTGGATATCAGTCAGCCAAAGTCGGTCAGTGAGAGTATTCATATGTCCTCTTACAGAAAGATGGAGGCTCGATGACATATACGTGACCCAAATCTATAGAACCAGTGAGCAACAGCCTCGACAATATCATGTCTCTCTCACTAACTGTCATCCACCAAGCTCGTCTCTGTGCCTCAGAATAATCTGTCGTCGTCGAGTCAAGACTATAAATAGAGATATCCATAGCCGTTGTGATAGCCTGGTTACCTCGAGCCCGCATTCTAGATACGTTACCACGCTGGCAATACTCATAAATGCTAAGTACCACGAGGGCCAGAACCGGATCAAGCTGAGTTGGAACTTGCGGATGCAAACCACTTAGTGCTCGGGACGATTCTATCCCAGGTACATTAGTGCTCAAAGCAGGCGACAAATCGTCCGTCTCAGCTTCCACAGCAGCTAGCGCCGCCTGGGCAAATAGCTGCGCGTACGACCGCCTAAGCGCAGCGTTCGTTTCAGTCATTGGAAATGTATCTTCCGCGGTAGGTATCAGGACCAGAATTGCGGACAAAGCAAGACTCAGAGACGATGTCGGCCAATAAGGCATATGGGATTTTTCTGGTTGAGAACTTTCTCCAAATGGCCTGACCACAGTAGGGTGATCTTCATGCTGCGGTACCACAGGAGGTGGCAACAGAGGTAAATATGGATGAATATAGATATAGTAGGCATTGGCACTGTGCGTCCGATTAGCAGTCCGTCATGTCTCCAACCATGTCCCTTTTGCACCAACATTTCCACTTCGGATTGATAGGCGCGTATTGAGCCCACATCGTGCACAGGGGCCGAATCAAATGAGCTATCATCATGTGGTGTGAGCTGACCCCAGAACTGGTGGGCTCCATCCACAGTTGACAGAGAATCCGGGGAGAGATCGAGATTGTGAATCCCAGCGAATGGCGATACCAGACTGATCATGTTATCAAGGAATGGTTCTGGCCAATGGTTAGATACCATGGCAACTTCTTATTTAGGAAGAATCGAGCTACCAATTTCGTCGGCAACATCTGATATTGAAGATGACAGTGAGTTGCCCCCAGTTGGTCGTCGTTGCGCCTCTTCATACCGCGCGCCTCTGCGAGGACCTCCCCGGCGACTGGGTCGATAACTGCACTCTCTTTTCCTGGCAGAGCACTAATCAATGAATTAGCCAATGAACGCCAGGAGAGGGGGTTGGACCTACACTGCCACAGGGATGTTGGCCGTCACAACGTGTTTTCGATGTTCGACTACAAAATATGAGCTCAAGGCAAAAACGAGGGGTCGAGAAGGTATGGAGCGCACCATGGTAGACAGGCAGCTTTCACCGGTGGTTTTATAAGACGAGGCATCTTGGCTAATTGTTTGAAAAGTGAAGTTAGCAAATGACTATCTCTGTGTTGAATCCATGGACGTTACCACGGCACGTGATATCTATACCCTGATGGGATGAGGGCGGGTTTGACTTGATAAGATTTACCTTTTATCTGTTGTTTCTATTGCTTCGCGAGAAGATCAATAGGCCGTTAGAAAGTACTTTGCCCAAGGGCAATAGTTTACCTCTGGTTCGGCGTTTGATATTTGGACCAAACACCGAGTCAACTCACCATCGGCGATTGATCGATCTTTGCATTGCGGATTCTATCTGAAGCCTTAAGAATACCTAGTGCATTAATGATGAGATGGTAATATGACTTAGAAATTTTTTACATATATCAATTTATTTGCAACAACTCTTGCCAACATTGGGCGCTTCTGAGGTATCCAGACGACAAAAACATGAAGACGTTACAGGCACATCAGCCACAGCAGCTGCTATCGCCAACTGAGGCCCAATAATGCGCGCCTCATCATGCCGACCAAGACGTATCAAACATTCATGGTAGCCCTGCAAAGCCCATATATTATTCGGATGCTGACGAGCACGGATAAGAGTGCTATCAAGACCCAGGTCAGCCTGGTAGACAGCCGCTGCATCCTCGATATGGCCCTGCTCTAGCAAAAGAGCAGCATATGCATGGCGAGTGGGTTGCATCCAGCTCCAGGGTTCACTGTAACCGAGTCCATCATCCAATTCAATCGAGCGACGTAGATGCTCGAAAGCCTCCGTGTAGTTCCCACGGCGGTACTCGATCTCGCCATCCAACATTTCCGACGCCACCCCAAGAATATCGACACATTTGTTGGGCCAGTCCACGCGCGTATCCGGGACTCGATCCCGCGCTGCTCGATAGAGCTCTCGCTGGCGCTCTGCATCCGGCACGTTCCCTGTGGCTGCATATGCCACGCCCTTGGCGTAGTGCAGAACCGCTATCGTCATACAGTACAGCTCCGGATCTGAGGGGATCGCAATATCTATAATCTCATCCCACATGCCGAACCGTATCATGATGTGTGCGCGAACAGACATGAAGACTTCGATGTAGTCTGACATGGCTGAGAGTAATTCTTTCGGCAGAGTCGCCTCCATGCGATCCACGGCGGCAAATGCGGCCTGTTTCTGGCCCGCAAACATGGCTGCGTAGATGAGAGAGTGGTAGGTGTGCATGCGGTAGACGGAATAGAAATTAAATGGGCCTTTCAGCGCGAGGTATTTCTCGTCTGCAATAGCGGCACGCTGATTTGCGCGCACGGCACTTCGATAGTCTCCGACCAGCACGTCCAGATGGGACGGCATATGATTGATATGACCCGCATCTGGAACGAGATCGCGGAGGTGGTCTGCCGGTCGGAGGCCTAATTCTGGGAAAGGCGACATCTCAATAAGATGAATGTAGATGTGCAGGAGACCAGGATGTTTAGATGCATCTTTATGTTGCAGAGCTGTCTCTAGTACCCTCTTTGCTTCCATGGTACGACTCCCTGGGTTTGGTTTGCCAGTTACCATGTCCCACAGCTTCCAGGGAGTGAGGCTGATCAAGGAATCAGCGTACAAAGTGGCGACGTCCAAATCATCGCTAAACTGTTCATATGCCTCTTTCATTGTATCGGCATATGCAATATTTTGGATAGCATATTGCTCCATGCTAGCAGGCTTATCACTTTGATAGCGGGCAGAAATTGCCTTGGCGAGGGCCTGTTCCACGGCGTTTCCATTTTTTGCAGAGAGGAAGCGAGCTTTGGTTGCAGCTCGATATGTGTTTTCCACAACGGCTGCCAAATCATTGCCGAGGAAATCCCAAGGCTGGTTGTAGTTGGGACCGAAAGAATAGGCCAAGCCCCAGTAGGCCATCACACATAGTGGATCATGCACAAGTGCTTGTTTGAAACAGATGATGGATTCCTTATGATTGAAGGAATATGCCCACACGAGACCACGGTCAAACCATATTTGGGCTTCAGGACTGGTGGTGGTAATTACCTTCCCGTATGACCCCAGATTATACGGATATTCGGCCCGGGTTGATGCTTTTGTCATGTTGGAGATATACCACCGTATGATGCAGGAAAGTGAGAGAATGAAGAGTTCGGGTTTCGGCGGGGTTCCCGCTACTTGTACCCAACGGCTTCGGACTTTCCACTCCATTTCGTTTTATATTTTATATTTCATGTTTTTATGTTCTTATGTGATACTATGAACTAGTGAACTAGTGAACTATTTTGAACTATACTGTCTACCCTGCATCTCATTGGATCAGTTGGTATGCAAATGCGATTAGGTTGTACTAGATTGTACTATTGTTCCTTGCTAGATCACCACCCTACATAAATATATGCACCTATTACGCAATGATATTCAATTCACTTTAATTTCTTAAACTGATTTCCTCGGATCCTAAGAGGGGAATGACTAGAACGAGAAAAAGTAGAAAAAATAGGCAAAACAGGAGTCGAGTGCATTTCAGCCTCAATCGCCTATCCCTATTTTCCCCGTCGGATCAGCCCACACTTTTATATATCCATAACTATTGTATCCATTTTTTCATCTCCCATCACATGTTGTACCTAAAATAGGAAATTCGTCCCCTTAATTTGAGATTCGAGTTCGAGCTCTCACTTTTGAAACCATCTGGTATTGAACTTGCCACTTCCATACTTTGCAGGGATATCCAGCCAAGGCCTCAATGCAAGGTCAGACACATCAGGCAATGGCACACAAGTACGGACCCATATGTATATCGTAATAAAGCAGGCCTTCTACTCGACCAGATATTTCTTAAAATCATACATCTTTGATTCGTTAACATGGTTGCAAAGATTTAGTTAGCACCTGCGAACAGTGACATACCCGGATCTGAGCAAAGCCCAATGACAGCTGACGATGGGACTATATCAATATCACACCTGGGCACATTCCACAATGCTAAGAAACCAATCAAGGTGCGAACGAAGAAATGATATCACCCAATTTCGTGTGAAATGCCTTACAGCTAACCGATAGAGTATAACCGATATGGACCCAATATAAATCAGAGACCGGGCTGACTACATGAGAAAAAGCAAATTACCCATCCACCTGGGCATGGACGTTAGCTAACTACTTAGGTATCTCCTATTAAAGCCTCAATAATACTAGTGCTGAAGTGACAAGCCTAATTTTCGAACCAACGAGAATATTGCACTTTTTCCCATCACAGTGATCTGCAAGTGAGATATATCGAAAATAAGCAAAATGTGACTTGTCTGCATATCACGATATCTATTCCCATTTGAGAATTCCATCTTAGAATTCCAGTTCCGAGACACTCCAAGCTCTTTCATGGACTCTAGGCAGACACTTATCTTGGGGGTTGGTACGAACTATACCGGGATGCATCAGGGAAATGGGCACATGGCTAGTACGCCAATTTTTCTTGGGTGTCCGATTCGCGCAGCTAGTCAGGGGCCACGAACGGAACTTACAACAGAATAGGCCTTGAAGGACCCGTTAATTCGATTCTTCACAAGGGTCGCCGGTATTACCGCCAACGTCATTTACATGAAAATGCAAGCTGCAAGCTGCCAGTAAAAAAGCAAGGCCCAAAGCAATAGCCAAGCAAGCCAGATGCGTAGCACCCATAAGAAGAGAAAACAGGAGATGCCATAGGCATAAAAAAAGGCAAAATCAGATCGAAATCAAATATCTCGCCCATATGTACTGCCCATATGTACTAAAGATCCATGCGTATAGCATCGGCGTGGGCTGAATATCAAATGTACCCTTTGGACGAAAGGGAGAAAGGGAAAAGAGAAAACCTGATGAAAAAGGACCCAGAGGCTGGTATTTTTCATTAGGTGATAGCAGAGCCTGCGACAGAGCCCGAGTTTGTCACGGAATGGATACTCCCGGGAGGTGCATGTCCATGGCTATTCCCGTTCTGGGCTTCCTCCGCAAGGACATTGTTCTCATCAATCCCCAGGAGAGATCGGGGCGGGTGAATATCTTTCTTGCCGTTGGTCTTGTAGTGGAGAACCATGTCTCCCGAGGTGCGCCAGAGGTGTGTGCGAATAGTTGCTAGAGTCATGTTTGGTGGACAGAGCTGGTGGAAGACGAATGCGATTAGTATGACTGACTATACAAAACAAGAGAAAAAAACTTACCATCTTCTGGCAGTATAGCTCGAGATACTCCTCTGGCGGCATAACAGATTCCGCTGGTTCATCCAGGTTCGCAGGGTCAATGCGCTCTGCGACATAAGCAAGAATCTTCTTCGTTCGGAGCATGCGGTTGGCATTGAGACGAGAGCCATTGTTATTGGTGTTCGGATTTCCTGGAGGGGCACCGTTAGGAGCCAGCCTGGATGAATAACCGATATTAGTTTCATTAACAACACACATTCCAGGGTAGAGAAGATCCGAAACATACGGTTCGGGCTTGACGACTGGTGGCAAGGTATCATCGAAGGGCTTCAAGACAAAGGCGATTTTGACCTGCTCCTTGAAGGGAATTTGATTCTATGAACAATCATCAGTAAGAGGAAACGCAAAGTACCACGCAGAAGGGACTTACCTTCAGAAGAAGCTCACCAAGCCAATGAGGAATTGATTTCTTGAGCCTTTCGAGGTCTTCGCCAATGCGGCCCACGCTACCTCTGTAGAGATCCGAGGCCACGGCGGTATCGCCGGTTTCCTCCTGGATGAAGACTGCAGTCCGAGATGGAATCTCCAGTCGCGGAGTTTCATCCTCAGAACTAGGGAAAAGAGCTGTCTCCAAATCCCGATCTGGATTTGTAGCCAGGAATTCTTCATAGTCATCACGAATGCGGTCAACCACGCCACATAGATTGGGCTCATAGACCTTCTCTTCCTTGATAGAGGAGATCTCCGACTCTTCGGCCTTTTCTTCCAATATCTGAGGCTTCGTGTCCGTAGAATTGCGACCTAACTTCTTGGGGAATTGGAACTTCTTTCCAAATAGTGACTTCTTCCGCTCTTCCTTATCGGGCTCTGCGGGGGATTGAGAAAGCCCTGAATTTGAGGCTGCATCTGGCGGAGACAGAAGAGACTTGTCGGTGTCTGTTTGTGGCGCCGCGAGAGGCCTTTTCGAGAAGTAGTCACTTGATGAAAAGGATGATGGCCCGCCATCGGGTTGAGAATTTGTTGGCACTGAGGCATCAGGTGTGTCCGGTTCAAACCCTGGGAACGGAGAGTTGCTCTGCATGGAAGTGCTCAAGTAGTTTGACGATGGCGTGCCAGAGTTGATGCCATATCCGACGTTCGGGCTAGTAGGGAATTCTGAACTGGGTCGCAGACTCGTTCTCTGTTGAGGATTCGATATAGGTATACCAACGCTGCGGGGGATATCATCGCCAGGTACGGATGTACTCAGCGGATTCAGTCGAGCATTTTCTTCTGCTCTGGCGACAGCAGCTTGGCGGTATTCCCGGTCTCGTCGAATCTCTTCGTCAACTACCGGAGCAAACAGCCAACGCAAAATCCATTTGCCAAGATTGACTGCGTGTTGTCAGTATGGCACAGAATATTCACGAAGTTTGACAGCAGAGCAAAAGGAAAGGAAAAGAATGCTCACTTCTTTGATCTTCTCTAAACTGATACAGATCAGATGGCGGTAGATCGGTTTCGTCGGCATAGACTTCTGCGTCGAAACAGCGATTGGGCTCCAGAATGACTGACAACCTGCCAGTACGCACGTCGATGGCACACCAATGTCCAATACTATCAACGGTGTTTACCTCTGACTCAACATCATCCATATGACGCTTGCCGAAGTTTTGGACGGGGATACACTAGGTTCATGTCAGTCGATGTCTTATACTTGTCAGTTGAGATGGAACCAAATCACCTTCAGCAGATCCCAGAGAACAACTTCTCCTGCCGAATCCTGAGTAAGTGTGCGCCTCCGATCATTCAACATCAAGCACTTGATCAAGCCGTGTTGGCCTTCAATGGTTTCCTCGGGCTGTGAGTGAACTGGGATCGTTAGGCCAATTGCCTCCAAGTCAGGCTCCGAGGAATTAAGTGTAGGGGCTGAGCCGCCGAGAATCGATGTCGCTGATAACTGCAAGACAGCATTAAACGGGATCTTCTTGGGTCCCTTCTCTGAACGGTTTGCGAGCACTGTAGCAGAGTCTATAGTACGGTCGGGGTCGGGCGGCGACTCGATTCCAACTGTAGTGTCAACATCTCGCCAGCGGTTGACGCTAGATTTGGGAGTAGCTGTCCAGATGTAGTCTCCCGCCGCCACAACTTTGACAACGCCCTCATGCTCTTGTAGTGCAGCGACGCAGAGGCCCTGGTCGGGATCGGCCGACCCTCGCATGTCGGTCTTTGCCACTAAGCCAGATCGGTCACTTGAATAGAAGACAGAAAGATCAGGGTGGTCTGAATAAAGAGACCATACGCTATCATTGTGCATGGTCAGGGTATTCATGCATCGACCCGCCGTGAGAGACCAGATCTTGATCGTCTGGTCAGACGATCCCGTCATGATTGTATTGCCGGACTGATTGATCATAATATCACGAATGTTGTCCGTGTGGCCCACGAACTTCGTCACTAGCTTTCCAGACCTGGGATCCCATACTCTGACGACGTTTTCAGGGCCACCGCTAGCGAGCACCGACGAGACCGCGCCCAGCGCATAGACAGACCCTTTGTCAGTGGAGTCTTCTCCGCCGGCATTGATGTTCAATACCTCTCCACTGCCATTTAAATCCCAAAGGTAAACCTTTTGATCGAGACCTCCCGAGGCAACCCAAGTAGCGTGGCTACCGGGGCTCGCTAGAGCCTTCACATAATCGGTATGTTTTCCAATGCGCTCCGGCACCTCGGTGGACTCGGAATGCGGGCGCCAGAGTCGCACGGTCGTGTCGGACGAGGCGGAGACGAGCGCGGAGTTGTCCTGTGCCAAGACTATGTCGTTGATCCAATGACTGTGTGCTTGGACCTGGGTTTTGAAGCCGGTCGGACTAGGCTTTTGATCAGGAGGTGATGCGTCTTTAGGAAGGAAATTGAGATCCCAGGAACAAATGACGCCGTCGCGGCCCGCGGAGTATCTAGAGGAGGGGACGTCATTAGTATCGATGGAACCCACGTGTAGGGGAAGCCTAGTTTCGGGAAGATCGCGGTCGCAAACATGGCAACCGTTCAAATCTAGATCCTGGATCCCTGCCTTACGAGGGAGAGATACTTACAGGATGGAGTTTTGGCGGTCGACGGTCAAGCCATTGACCCCCAGCCGGTGCCCACCGGGTGCATCAGGCAGAGGGAGGACTAGCAGAGTGAGAGACACAGTCAGCAATCCGAGAGGAAATTCGTAGGATCTAACTTACCATAGGTGACCCTCTGGTGGCTTAGTTTGCGTGCCATACATGCAGCGTTGAAGGAGTGAAACCAATTGCGGAGATGCGAATGCGGAGCTTATCTGCCCTCAAGGCCGATCGCAGGTTCAGTTTTGGTGGGGAAGGTCAACGTCACAGGGCCATTACAATCAAAGCAGAAAAGAAGTCAAAAGGCCAAAGGAAAGAAAGGAAGCCAAGGGGAAAATACTCAAATGAGGGGAAGTTTCCTCAAGTTGGAGGCGCCAGGGGCCGGGTGTTTATGCGGGCGTTTATACTTGCTTTACTCCACGGCCTTACTACATAGAATATCAGATACATATGTGCGACCTAATATAACTTCAGTCTGATTTAAGTAGAGATACTCTAATATCTAACGGTGTCTGATCATAAATCTTTCTTTAAATAAGTCCAGGAGCCTCCTTCTTTCCCTTTCTGGATCGCTTCTCGGTTATCTTTGGCTATTTCGTTCTAAGAAGTTCCATAGTACTCTACATGGACTGCCACTCTTATAACACCGGTATACCTTCTTATAAAGACCTGTACAGACTCACAAGAATTTTCATTTCTGAGAGAAACGATCAAACAATCCTTCAACCCCATCAACGGCATGGTGACTTGCCCGAATGACTTGATAGATGGTGGAGATCTAAGACCCTACGCACAGCTGGATGCTCCGCGCGCCTCGTGGAAGGGGACCTTAAGCTCATGCCGAACAAACAGAGCAGCTTGGCTGCATCGCCAAGATAGGGCTTGGGTTGAGTCAGAGAAAGCTGCAGTTGGCATCTTTTCAACAAGCGTCTTATGGCCTTGATCTTTGTAATTCCAAGAATGCCCGACTGATTCCGGGAACAAGTGACATCCTTATCCATCGACGATATTCCACTAGTGTATTCACTATATTCTTTGCCAGAAGATTACGCGGTACTGGAGAAGCATGTCCAGATGGATGTACCTCACGTAGAGTTTATAGTCCGGGGGAATCTCACCCATCTATAAGCCAGTAAGATATACCTGAACGCCGCATGCTTTCTTTCGTGGTTCGAGGGCCTCTGAACGCCTCATGGCATGCAGGCGTCTGAATGCGGCATACGTGCTCTCGTCAGCTCTCGTCAGCAGTCATCACTGCTCCAGGTGTTCGCCACTCCTAAAACCCCCAGGGTCTCTCTCTCTCCTTCTCCCAACCATTACAATATACATATCTATCTTGATTGCCACTACAAATCAACATACAAAAAGAAAGAAATGGATATCCCAATCTCCCAAATTAAGCCAGCATACCCGCTCAACCACCCAAACCCAACCCAAGAAGAACCCGCAATCCAATCCGTCATCAACGCCCTACATCTCTGCCCGCACCCAGAAGGCGGTTACTTTTGCGAGACAGACCGTGATCCACGCCGGGTTCCAAACCCTTATAAAGAGTCAACAACCTCGGCCACAGCCACAGACACGGATCCCGAATCCCGCTCTGCAAGCACCTCAATCTACTACCTCCTCACACCGCAGCGCCCACAAGGCGCTTTCCACCGCAATAAAAGTCGCACGGTGCACGTCTGGCAAAGGGGACGTGGGCGGTACGTTATTATCCATGCGGATGAGGTAAGTGTTGAGAATGCCAAGGCGCGGGTTGAGACGTTCATTGTTGGGCCCGATGTTGAGGCTGGGGAGAGGATGCAGTGGGTTGTTGAAGGGGGGAAGTACAAGTCTTCTTTTTTGTTACCGGATGAGCCTAAGGGAGAAACTTCTTCGGGGTTGTTGATTAGTGAGGTAAGTTTTGGATATAGATCTACATTTTTGAGACGGTATAAACTGCTAACAAGTTCCCCAAGGTTGTTGTCCCGGGCTTTGAGTTTGCAGACCATGATTTCCTGCGCAAAGAGGGAATGGAGGAACTCCTCACTGCCGAGCAAGTTCAGGAATTGGGCTGGATGCTTAGAACCGAGAGCAGTTCCTAGCGTGAAATCCACAGAATGACATGTATCATGGTTTATATCATGGTTTAAACCAACTCGCTTTTCGGAGTCTATGTTCTTCCAACTTTCTATATCAAGATATACGAATCACAAGGCAAAGAAAAGTCCAAAATTAAAGACCTTTCTCCGCCTGCACCTCCCGGCGGCCCTCAAGGGTATTAGAAGCATACTGATAACTCCCAAGGAACACAGCCCCACCAATACCAATCCACGTCACACGCGGCGTAATACCACGCCAGAAAGCACCGGGCCCTTCACGCGCAATCCCGCGCACAACCTCCTTGAGATGAATAGGCGCTTCAACGCCCCCATCTCCACGCCGCGCAAGCATAACCCGCGTCTTAATCACATCGAGCGGGGTAGTTAGGCCAGCCGCAATGGCTCCCGCAACACTGCCGAACATGGCGCTCGTCGAAGCGGGGATATGCGTCTCGGCAAGAGACGAGGCCGTCTCCGCAGTTCGCAGGTACCGCTTGCCATAGGCTTCCTTCATCGACTCCCACATGGTGAACTGCAGCACGGTGAAGGGGATCTCGCGGGCGATTGTGATTCCGGCTCCGCGGTAGAGTTCGCGGAAGACCTGGGCGTAGCCGCGCTTCGCTGCTGGGGTTGAGGTCGTTGTGGTTGTGCTTGCTGTGGCCGCGTGTCGCAGGGACAGGATGTCCTTCAGTGCGAGGAGACTCGAGCCGCCGAAGAGGCCGGCTTGGGCGCGCTGCTTGATGACTTCTGTTGGGACGCGGACGGCGCATGCGGCGATTTCGCCGAGTGAGGAGGCGAGTGAGTGTGTGAGGAGTATGTGGGAGCGGGGCTGCGGGTTGGTTTTGCCGTTGGCGGGTTGGGGGGCGAGTAGGGTGCGCTTGACGCCATCGTAGACGATGAAGAAGGAGGCGGCGGAGGGGGCAGAGCCAAAGAGCACGGATGGGAGGCCGGCGTAGATACCGCGGAAGGTTTGGCGTAGGGAGACTCGGGTTTGGGGTGCGGTATGGTCGCGTGCTTTTTGGAGTCGGGTTTTGATGGTGTCGAGGGGGTAAAGAGAGCAATCGACGGTTAGGCCTGCGATTGCGCCGGACTGTATGGTTGCAGAGCTGTTAGAAAGATACTCCTGGGCAGGTCTTTGGAGAAGGTTACAATTAATGACCTCGTCCATAGGGAGGAGACCAATGGCTCCCCGTCAGGTTGTTGGGCCATTTTTGTATAGAATTGGATATGAAAATTGTTCTATCACAAGAACATGGCCAATTGGGTGAAAGTACGGAGGAAGAAGAAGCAACGGCATATGTACAGAAGCGGGCTAAACGGAGAAGCTCCGCAGATGACTGGCAGTTTTCTTTTGCTCCGCGGTCAGGCCATCCGATATCGCCGGTCTTCGCTACGTAAAATTCAATCAAAGAATATGTATATAGTGTGTTGTATGTTTGTGTTGAAATGTATCTACTATTTAAGAAAATAAAGCTCTCTCGCACAAGCGTGAAGCCTTGCCAAAAGAGTGCTCCTGAAGAAAAAGAAAGAAAAAAAACACACTCCAATATCCCAGACCGAGTCTATCAGTAACATCCAATCGTCGAGGTAGAGCCAGAGCTCCGTTTCCTTCAAGATCTTCAGAGAAACTCGAGCGCGATAGAATGCCACAGAAGTTTATTCAAGAATATCAACTCATCTCAAACATGGCCCGGGGAATGAGGGAAACCGCCAAAATCATCTACAGTACTCGTAGGGAATCACACAGTAAACGCGAAAGGGAAGGGGACAAAAGTGCCACCCCATTCTCAAAGGATAAAGGGGATATATAGACACGAGGAGAAATTGATACAAAGAAGGGTTATTATTTAGCCTTGGTAGCTTTGCTGGCCACGGCAGGGCTCTGGGCGGGGGGCTCGAGGACGTGTGTGTGACCGGGTGCACTGATGATTTCACCGGTCTCGTCCTGCCGACATGTATGAATGTTCCTTACCCAGTCATCCGACAGTACCTCGTCGAGTGTCGCTCGGTTCTTCGGGTTGGTCTTCAGCATGCGGCCGATGATGTACCGGCTTTCCCGCGGCAAGATCCGGAGAAGACGCCACGGGCCCTTGATGACTTCCTGGCGCTGCCCAGAATTCTGGGATGATGCCGGTGGCGGTGCCTCTTTGCTAGTCGTGCGGGTGGTCCGCTCATGAGGGCCGTTGCTGATTTGGCTGATCTGCTTTTGAGCAGTATCGGGAGAGCCATCACCGTCCCTTTGCGAGGGCTCTGATTTGTTCCCGTCTCCGTTTTCGTTTCCGTTTCCATTCTGCTCCGATCCAGACTGGTCGGAAGGTCCGCTCGAGCGAGGAGTCAGACGCTTATTGTCATGGCCTTGGGAAGGAAGATCGGGTGTCGACTTAGGCCGACGGCGTGGGTCAGGTTCCGCGACCGGGGTGCCTGGGGTTGGGCTGGAAACGAACAATTTGTATGAGTTGTCGGTCATGCGCGGTTGCTTCCATGGGAACCGGCGCAAGGTCATACAGCAGAAGATGATCGCCAGCGACCAAACATCTGTGGGACGGGGGTCATATTTCTTCTCGTCATAGACCTCGGGGGCAAGATAGGGATCCGAGCCAACGATGCCTGCTCATGCAAATCAGTAACCATGAAGCGTGACCGAGATAGAAGATACATGAATACATACCTGAAGCAGGGACAATGTCGTTCTCGAAAGGATAGCGGAATACGACGGCACTTCCGAAATCAATAAGTTTCATGATACCACGGTCATTCACCACCACATTATCCAGTTTCAAATCCCGATGGGCCAGACCCATGCCATGGATGTACGCGACACCGCTCAAAATCTGCTTGAAAGAGCAGGCGATTTCCTCCTTGCCCATTTTGCCCGTCATCACGATAGCAAACAGATCGAACGGCGCATATTCCATGACCTCATACCAACGACTACCTTCTTGAATGATATCCAAGGTCTCAATGATATTGCCATGGTGCAACGTGGAGCCAATACAGAACTCTGCTGTGACCTTCTTGGAGTATTCCTTCAAGCTCTCCCAGTTGTGACGGTCTCGGAATTGCTTCACTGCAAAGGTGACACCGTCACTGTTGCGCTTCAACAGACGCACGGAACCACCAGCTCCAGATCCGAGCACCCTGCCCAGCTTTCCATACTTGGAATTCAAACCATGATCGTCGGCGAAAGGAACATTGTCGGGAGCCATTTGATACGGAGTGGACTTTCCAGATGATCGACTCGACTTCTTAGGCATGGACGTCGGGGACTCGGATCGCTTGTTGCGATGGCCCATCTTGAAGAATCGTTTCAGCTCCGACATAGAGCCATGATGCTGGTGCGCGTGGTTCTTATCGTGACCGTGCTCCTTCTTCGCACTACTAAATATCCCCCTCTTGTCATTAGGTTTGCTGAGGTCGCCTGCGCTGGTGGATCGGTGAGCCCCCGGACGAAGTGATCGCTTGACATCCCGACCGCTAAAGATAAACCGAGGATCCAATTGGGCAAGGTTCTTGGACTGGGGTGGTCGCTTGTTGCGCGCATATGGATCGTTAGGTTCGCCTACAGGGGTCATAGCCCCTGGCGGAGTAAGAGACTCTCTTGGAGTGGAAGGGGGGCTTTCTTCTTGGGAGCCCCCGTCATTTCCAATGAAGAATTGCGCACGATGTCTCGGTACTTGGATGGCATAAGGAGCTCGCTCTGAGCCTTCACTTTGTCTAGTGGACAGGGGGTGGGTGGACAGGGGCCGGGAGGATGAGGCGGGTCGAGGCGTACCGTTTTTGTCGGTTGATCCGACGGGAGGGGTTGGTTGAGGGGTGAAATTAGTGTCCACGTGGGGTCGGCTGGTAGCTTTCAGAGAGGCATTATCGCTGGTTTTGCCTTCGCGAGAATGGGTTGCAGCTGGAGTAAGAGGGGGCGACTGTACAGCAGAGACCGGAGGAGACGCATGTGGAGAGGTAAAGGCACCAGTGACATGTCCGCTACGATCACTCGACTCTCGAGAGCCAACCTATGATGATCCAAAGTTAGTATGATTGATGAGATTACCACAGTCCACTGAGTCTCCGCTCAGAAACTGGCGTCGGAAGGGAAAATAATTATCTGTAGCATGAAGAGATCGGAACACTCGGAAGAACACCCGACGGCAAATTGAAAGGATAGATAACATACCCTGGAGGAAGGAAGAGACATGGCGTCAAAAGAGAAGTTGCGCAGGCGCGACTCCTGAAGCTGCGTGCCCTGCATACTCATCGCCAGCGACCGTAATTGTTCCTCCTCTGTCTTTCGATCTCCTGGCAGAGATTGTTGCGGTTGCTCCGGTACAGGGGACAATTCGGATCGACCTGGTTCAATCTCCTCTGTGATGGAGGAGAAACGGACCTGAGTAGGCTGAGCTCTTGACTTGGCGTCGGCGTCTCCGGGCTCCGAGGCCTGGCCGGGGATATTGGTGGGCATACTTTGGAATCCTGAGACAGACATGCGTCAGACGGTTGCCAGGAATTTAGGATATACCATCACAACCGATCAGCATGGCAGCCAAGACATACCTGAATCCATGGGGTTGGGTTTTGAATCAGTCATTTCAGACGTCATAGTCTTCGACGCCGGCTCGGAACGTGGGACACATGCCCCTCACGTTGGGAGCTTTGGAGAATCCTAGCGATCTAAGGACCAGTTCAAAATGCTGTCAAGGTCGCAGACTTGCACGATTTCCTAACAGAGTCCAAGAAGTCAAAGACTTGAGAGGCAAATCTTTTCCCTTTTCGACTTTCTTCCTCCCGCCGAATGCGATCAAGAGCACACGGGTTTGGTCAAGGAATTCGGGAATCCGGGTGTCCCGGGTTTATAGATGAGAGAATGCGAGAGGAGATGAAGGAAGCAAAGAAGTAAAAGAGAAGAAGAGGGGAGATGTCAGAGTCTGGGCCTCAGGCAAACTTGAATTTTGGGGGCGAGTGGGGGGAAGAGGGAGATAACTAGAGAGATACTATGTGGTTTGCTCTTTGGACCTCTCTTGACTTCATTTACTTCTTTATTTCTCCTTTACTATTTCTTTTTCTATTATCAGATGAGCATGGGAATACATCCTAGATATACAAATGTACCCAAATCCATCTAGGAATGCCTTACCTCATAAGTCGGATGGTCGCGGAGAGTCGAAGATGATGTCGACCCGTGCCGACTTCCCGGTGCTGACCAGGCTACGTACACTTCCAAGCCTTCCAAGCTTATTACAAAGTACGAAGTACTCTATTGGTACCCTATGCAGGCCATGTACATCGTACATGGTCTTGGGTGATCTGGAATATTGCCTGAATGGGGTTAGTGTATCTGATGACTCCACTCGCTTCCATTTCCTCTAGAGTAGCCACATAGGGCCGGACCATCTTTCTCCGCCAGATTCTCCAGACTCCATGCCAAGTGGGATGTCTACGTTATACCGTGACACATTCTTGTCCTTGGCAAGGTCGGACTGAGTCACATATGCCAAGTTCTCCGCTCCGCGGATGTGTTGAAGTGTGTGACCTCATCTGTAGTCTTCCGAGATCACTGAGAAAAAGCTCCACGGGTATATAAAAATCAGGGAGCCCTATCACCGCTGGATAGTGAGATGGCGTGTGACCACATGCCCACCTTCAATCGCATTGTGGTGATTAGCCAGTTTATATTTGACTTTGATAAGTCATCGTAAGTAAGTACTACCCCCGAAGACCCAACTATCAATGCAAAACATCTCTTGGATTGCGATCAAAGATATGGCGTACAAATCTGGAAAGAAATAATCGGTATCGTACAACAGGGGGAAGAAAATACCCCCAATTTCCCAGAAAACGCCCGGTAAAAAGGATCCAAATCAAAACAAGTAGGCCCCTTGGAGCACTACCGGAATGACCAATCATTATACAAGTCTATTGTCCTTGTGATGCTCAAGGGACAACCTGGATACCAATGGACTTGGCTTGGGACATGACACTCTTGCACAATCCCTCCAGGGACAAGCCTGATAACCGCGTCTCGGTGTGCTTGAGCTTAGCGATTTCGTAAACGTGCTTGAGAGAGATCTTGCCACAAAATTCATGGCCAGGATTCATCGCACCACGCAGTCGGTTCTTCCGGGGTTCGACATTGGCCGCGTTGAGTAGGAGGTAGGTGGTGGTCGGGGTGCGGAGTTC